ACAGCAGATTAAGGCTATCGTCGTCTGAGGTTTCAGCTCACGACGAAATACAACACCACAAACCGAATCCCCGCTAATTAAGAAGGAAATTAATTTGTGCAGGGATAAGTTTCACCATCCGAGGAGATTTTCTAGCCAGACTGACTACAGTTCATTTCCACAGCCGACCTTATACAAACTGCTTGTTAAGTAAACTTGATATCTCACAGTAGTATTTCTTTTTTCATTGTCAGCCGTCATAATATGATATCACCATAAAGTTACTTCTTGGAATAACAGTTAATCTTGTTATTGGATTCTGTTTTTGGTTTATTTGTTTAAGTCCAAAGACGGAGACTCTGACGGAAGAGCCAATTAGCCAGATGTGATTTACAAGAAAAGACAATTTGAATAAAAACAATTCAATAGCTACCGAGAACTAGAGCTTACAGCTGTCCGATTGTTATGTACAGTCAACCACCCCAGCTGCTGATGTGTAAACATACCCTAATATTAACAGAGGTTTTGTAAGTCAATACCGAGTCACAGTGAACATTAATACTCTTATTGAAACATGTGGTACGGTAATTAATTCCGATCTCATTGGCTATATTGAAGGATTTTTGTGGGAAACAGGTTCACTAAAACGTAAACAACTGGTATACGGGATAAGCCTTTTGTCAGCAAGACAACCCCGATGTAGACAAAGGTTATCATTAAGCTTCAATGACAAAATAGTGATTTTTTTAGCTTTGCATTCGAGGAAACAAGAAACGAATCGATTATGTCTTGCTATTTGCAACGAAATAGTAACAATACCCACGGTAAGAAAATACCGAAGCCAGGAATGCACTTTTTTCCTTCTATTTTTGATGGACGTTAAATTATTTTAGGCTATCAAAAGGTTTCATTGATGGGTTTAATTGATTTAAACACCTGGGTGAATAGTTTATCTTTTTTTTTTAGCTCTGAACAAGAAATCACACTGTAACAATTCTCGAAGCTTACAAAGTTATAAACGGACACATGGGTACTTTGTCGTATTCCTGAACCTACTACTGGTCTGCTCGAGTTTATTACTCAAAACTCAACTGTGATAATTACGTTTATGCACGCAATCTGAAATTGATCCACTTGAGTACTTGGATAAATTAATTGATTTCAACTTGCTGCTCAAGTTCGACTTGGAAAAATGACATGTGAAATTGAAATTAATAACGTGTGTTTGGCTTGGACTTGAATCAAAAGGCCTCATGACAAAACGCAGGTTTCGTTTTTCAAAAATAAAAATGTCAACGTGAATTTGATATTTTTGTCAGGTGCACGTCTTTCCGTATGAAACGTCTGGACGTTTATTTGGTACACTGCATTCGCTTGGCAGCCGTCAACTCAAATGTTTAGCACTCGACACGCATAACTATAAGCATAAGCATGAACATGTATTCTTCACAGTTCGACAAACAAACTTCATTCAGAGAAATGGCATGAGAAACCAAAAAAAAAACCACCCCAAAACACGAGTCTGGTGTATTCATAAAAACGGCTGAAAAGGCGATTTGTTTTAAAATTCGCTGCCGCTTACGTCCAATAAAAAAATGGTCAAAGATGACAAAATCGTATGATTAATATGAAGCACGGTATTCTTAATGATGCATAATGGTCATTACGCACAAACAAATGAGGATCACAGTTCAACATTATTACATCGTCATGAACAATGCTACAATAAAGATAATTACAGCCAGTCATTTACTCAAAACAGATTCACATTAATAACGGCTGGAGCTGGCGCGGTTATGTTCCCAGCTGGGGGCTAGAGAACTCTTGACTACTGGTCGTGAGAATTAATAACCAACGGTAGATCGCTCAAGATCAAAGGGTATTAGCAGAACATAATATCTGTGGAGAGCGACAGCGACATATTGATCGGAATCTATACTATCTCGGTAACAAGACTAGCCAAGCCTATGGTGAAATAGGTCCATGGGCACACAGATTCTATTCAACTGATTCAGATTGGCTATTCACTGGATGTCTTTCTTTGCATCTGGTCTAAACAATGGGCCGGGTTTAGCCCCTTCATTGGCATTAAGGGGTAATCCTACACAATGGCACTGCCCGGTTTACAAGTGATAGTCAGTGGGTCAGTGAATCAGTCAGTGAGATAGGTCATCTAGGACCAGCACAAGTGGTGGTCAGCAATTTACCTTATTTTAGAGTTTTTTTTCAGTATCACAATTTTTAGATATAATCTTCATCAGTAGAAAGTTAATATGTCAGTCTCCTGACGATGACTAGAGCAGGCTAGTCGAAACGTTGAGACCAAAGACAAGTTCTTTTAGAACTTACAGCAGGACTGTTCTAAACAGAACAAAAACTGCTTAGCAAGTTGATAATAAGCAGGACAAGTTCTTCTCAGAACTAATATCTTCTAAGCAGTAGTTATTACCACATGGTGTTACCGCAAAACCGAAACGATACCGATACCCCACCATGCAAAGCCTCAAATCTTATATTAATATGTATTCCTGCATGCCACGAAGCAAGAAAGGTGATTATTTGACTTTTATTTAAGTAAGTTTTTTGGCTGGTAATGTGTATCGCAAGAGGCACAGAAGTTCATCGTCAGTTGATTTGAATATCATCTACATTTATCTATCATATGTATTTACTCTGATTTGATATCTTTAAATCATAGTAAAGAAAACAATTCATTGATGACAACACTTGGTATGAACCTAATACAACTTGGGATGTTAAATCTAATGGTTCTATGGATAGTTATCTTGCATGTTGAGCAAGAAAAACTGATAATTACTATATAAATATGTCAAGTAAGGCAAGAAATTGGAATATGTACGTGCCATCTTAAAACTTGATCTGCAGTATGATACAACATCTCCAAGATGAATATTCCAGTTTAAAATGGTCAAACTGGTTTGACTTGTTTAACTGGTTTTGAAGTAGTATATTAAACTAGTTTTGATCAGTTAAACCAGTTCAAACCAGTTAAACCGGTACAAAACATGTCACCAATCTCCAGTTAAACTAGTTTCGACAAAAATGTTCATCTGGGTTACTAAAGTGCATTCTAATTGACAATGCAGCAACAAAACAGTCCACCGTGTCAACTGATAAAACTCTTTCAAAAAAAAATGTGGTTGGAAAATTTGAAATGCAACATAGCCAGGTGCATGTAGGTTGGAGGGGTGTACATATCGTAACAGACAGCTGGATGGCTCGAATCCCTAGGGTATAAGACCTACCTTCCCCCCACGTCTACCAATTAGGAGCAAGTGAATATCACCTTACTCGCAGTAATCGAATGAGTCCGGAGTTTAGCGTCTGCCGCAGAACACTCGATCCCTTTTTCACGGGCGTGTGACTCTGACGAGCTTGCAGACACCCCGATGAAATATTAAGCAAAAACAATCGACTTGCTATCACTCGGACGGATCGCCGGTCTCCGATGAAATAAATATTTTGGTTTCGAGTTAATAGTAAACGGTGGCGCAAGCGAAGCTTTTATATGAACGTTCGGGAAGTCCTCGCGTTACAATCTGGTAGCGTTTTTTGCCCAATCGACCGACCCTATTATTTTTTCAATCAAGATGGTTGTGCAAACCGCCTGAGGCCGTACAGCGATTTCGTCTGGCTTCCCGATCAATTGTTTATCGTTTAATTCGGCCACGTGTTGAGCTAATTATTAATTGTCTTATAAATGAGTAACAGTTTTCCGGTGAACCGGTCTGTGTTTTTTAATCATAATGCTCATGACAGTGGAAGCTCATATCATTTGCTCTGAAATTGGTACTCACTATACATGTGCACAGTGTTAATTCATATAGATATTAGGTTCACAGGTTCATCAATTAAAGCGGTACCAATTCTCGGTAGTGGGTAAAAAGAAAGTAAAAATGAAATCACTGTCATTTTTGTGACAAATGAAAACTGGAATTCTGCTTTATCTACCGTGATTGCGAGTTAAAATACGTAATATGTTTTGTTCTATCAAAAACGTTTATTGACTTTTCTACCGGTAAGCCCAACTAAAGCACTAGTAAAATTTAAAAAGAAACGGTGTGTTTAAAATGGAATCAGATGTAGAGTTTGTCAAATTGTGTGCCAAATTGACACCAAAATTAAACGTTTAGTTAACGTGAGTTTTAAGTTTATAATGTGCTTTGCACATAATTGTTCTATCAAAAGGTTCATAGGCTTTTCTATCGATTAACACTGTCTAAGTACTAGTAAAATATTCACAAGACAGCTCAATGCATGTCAGAAGAGTTCTTTGTTTTTACTGCGACTACTGGACTGTTCAATCGGTTCGATCCGTTCTAGCTGTCTCTGGCGCAGATTTATCATGGTCCAACGCAGTAAAAAGTAAAACGCATTGCAACACAACGTTAGTCTAAGTGAATCGCTATTCATCCATCTTACGGGGGTCGTTTGTCACGAGAAAACCCGCTCGGCGTTTTGTAGAGACAAACGTCCGTTCTTTAAAATTGATGTTCGCCTCTGTGTAGACATTGTTTACAGGTTATAAGATACTGGTATGACTGAATTAAAACGAGTACCCAGCGAGCTGAGATAGGCAGCAATATTTCTTATTAATTTTGAAGACAAAAGTATCCCGAATATTTTGAGAGGAAAGTTTACAAATTTACTTACACAAAAATCAGAATGAAAAAGGCGGAAGATAAGCAAAATTCCGTTAATTTTCTTTATAATCTTAAAAGGTAAACTTGTCTTTAAGAAGAAAACAGTCAATTTCATATAGCATTTCGTCTCCGAAAACAATTTGCAAGATTTCATCTTCTTCAATGTTCCGATAACAGGCACGATTATCACTACGAATTGTTAGTGTTTCAACAAGACAATCTACGCAGGAAAAAAGCGTCGTTATATAGTCATTCATCTGTTGCTTACGATGCACTTCTGCTGGCCACTCAATCCGTATATTCTAGCGCAGGGGCACAACAGATGATTTCAAAAAGGCAAAAAAAGGATTCCCTTACCTTTGTAGGCGAGCCGTCGAAACGAGTACCGTAAGTCTCCAGTCTAGGTACAGGTGTACAATAGAGTCAGGGATTGAAGGTAGACTGAGGAAGCAAGAAAAAAAAGTCAAGCTAAGTCAGAAGTCATCAAAGCCTTGAGCGTTAATCGCAGCGCGGTCCCAGTTGGCCGTGGCATCGCGCGAGCGGCACTTATCAAATAGAGCTCCGCCAACAAAATGAACTCATTGCCAGAAAACGGAGGAACGAATAGCGCCGCTGCTCCTGCAGCAGCCCGCGTCACGGACAAGACAGCACCGATGACTGTGGCAGTCCCACCCGCGATGATTGACAAGAACTCCCGGTACCTTCAGCCGAGCTCACCGCAGACTGACTTTAATTAAAAAAAGAAGTAAGGGAAAAATTGACAGCGAGATATTGAGCATGGAATGACGAGGCTGAAGGGTGATAATGACAGCTTGCCTGGTAGCTAACCACTGATAGTGCACACTGTATCTGCTCCCAGATGCTATCGCTAATTGTAGTCAGTAACAGCTATCTATCTATAATTTGTCCAATGCACTGATCTAAGTCCACACTGTACAGATGTGCTCGGCTTGAACAGAACCGCATCTGTACTTCAAGCTTCTAATATTTGTCAAGATCTCCAGGCACAGTGTCGACCAGTTATTACAATAGGGTAATCCCACCAAGTTATACATTTACTCAGAAGATGGCCAATCTTTAATAATATGGGCTAACCGATTTGAGACATTTTCCAGAAAAGTTTCAAGAAGCTCTTCCTGCGCAGAAGAATCGATGTATTGACCGCGCAGTGAGGGAATTATGGACGAAACTGGAGATGGGTTTGTGGAAATGAGGACGTCTCTGCGCATGCGCCGATGATGCACCCAATACCCTGAATGTTTGCGTGGGTTGGCCGTACGAGACAATACCCTCGTAATCCAAAAATGTATCGCCGACAAATGCTGCTGAAATTGTATTTTTTTGGTATTACTATCTGCGTTCATGCAAGTATAGGAACTGAGCCAAAAGTACTAGTTATTCACCTTAATTATTCACTAATAAGGTTTTGTTTTCCCTCTTTAAGAAGGGATATGGAAATGTAAAATTGAAATGTAATCTTACAATAAATAAATCATGAGGCTCCAAAACGATTATTTTACATCCTTGCTGTTGATACTGTGAAGCCAGATTCTAGGGTCATCCGAGGATAATTGGGATTGGCATTGGACTTAATGTTTACAAATAATTCTAAAGATTTATGACTTTTGCAGGCCTCATTTATTTAGGAAAGCCATTTGCTGAATGATGAGTGTTAAGGGCAGCAGTATGATTCAATTTTACACGAGATGTATTCAAGGCGGGTGCAACGAACCTTGAAATGCATTGCACCAACTGCAATCTATTAACCCATTTTTGCTGACCCTAGGTTGTATAATTCTACACAAAAACCAATATCTAAATCTGTTGCTCAAATTATTCCCGAACTCAACAAGGTTGTAAAAAAAGCCAAGACTTAGTTGCCAAAACAAATTTGAGACATTAAGGCCTAATACAAAAACGAACTATTAACTAAAAACGACTACTTACCCAACAACCCACCGTCTGATTTAACATTTTTTTGGTGTGCATTCGCAACTTGTTCTCACCTAACTGGTCTAATTCTATCTTAGGTTTGGCTCATACAATTTCGAGTACATTCGAGCTTGGATTCAAATTCTTGTCAGTGAAGAGATTTCAGCTCCCTAACAGGATAATATGTAGCTGTGCCTATTATTAGCATGCGGATTGCTCACTTACCCCTTTGGAGTAAACACCATTTACAATGATGCACAGAGACACGAAGCAGCTAGCGCTACAAGTCTTTTGCTTTACATACAGAGTATGCCATAAAAAGTGCAACATTGACAAAAATATGTTTTTTTGAAAGGCCAAGAACACTTTGATGTAAACCTGGTGTAATTTCACAGGTAGAACAGTTGTACGAGCCGTGATCACGCATCTAACCAATAGTGTGGCAGCGTCGTTCATCCTTGTGTATAGGATCCGTGATTACTTCACACTTCATTGATGTCACCAACTTCAATGTCTTTTCAATGCATATTCAATGCTTAACCCAGATTCAGCATGTCCAAGTGAGAGTGGCCCTAGTAAAATTTACACCCTTTCACTTAATTGATTGTATGTCTGGATCTAGGGACCCAAATAGAATGGGGGTAAAAGGGAGTGGATTGAGAAATAGTCAGGCTTTAATGTTATATATAATTGCTTTGAAAAAAAAAACACCCCACATTAAACAGTTATAATTATTTGTTTTCTGAATATTGCACTTTTTTTGCCACACTCTGTAGTATCAGCAGACTTGGTCAGAAGAGAGAGCTTTAAGACGTGCAATAAATTGTCTTGGGTAGTAAGAGGGGACCAACCTCGCAAAGGCTCAGACACATTGAGAATTTAACTGGATTCTAGTCACGATTTGGATGACAGCCCACGCTGGTTTGAGAAGAACCCTCAAAACCCCAAGATCAGAAATAAGAAGTCCTCTATATCCCAGGCGACAATATCGAGGGTTGAGTGGACTTAACTGGACAAGAGCATCTCTCTGGAAAAGGCTAAAGGATTTGACTTGTCTTGCTTGTTCCTGCCTTTAAAAGGAATTCTAGTAATCCTACTACATTTTGGTCTTAGATAACAGGACAACATTGACTTAAGGTATTATCATAAAGAAGCCCATACCAGCGACAGAATTGACTCTGCAGAAGAGTCTTTTCCCGCATCTCATGAGTAGAATTAAATTGAGCATAGAACAATTTTTGTATCTGTTGAATAATTTACTTTTGCGACAAATGAAATGCCCTTACTACGTAAATGTTTTTTTAGGCAGGGAATGTAAATGCTTACATTATCCAGTGGCTTAAGTATGGTTTAACTTCTAAGTTAAACATCCGTGTGGGAGGGGCGGGGGCCTCCGTAGTAACGCTACTGACCGTATCCTTTTGAAATATAAGTTGATATTCCAGGTATGTTGCTACCAAAAGTTTTCACAAGTGGTAGACTCCTTCTACCTTCTTAAATGTTCATGGCATTTATGTATGTTTGTACAACATACAAAGTCCCTGTGGGAGATATTTTAGTGCATGTCCAAACTTTCCCGCGCATTTCGCATTATCACTATTCTACGTAAAGAAAAACATTCGCGATGAGATGTACGTGACTTCGAAAACTTTTCTAGTATTTCCAATCGCCCCAGATAGACTCAAATGTGTTGAATCTCAAACGGAAATGTTGGAAAGATGCATTCATACCAATTAGGCACGCCCGTATCGGTCAATTAGATCTAACATGTTCTGTTTTGATAACAAGTTAGCACCTGTTTTCAAATTCTCGTATTCCTAATTGTCAACTCCTACGCCCATGTTATTGGGGCTCTTTATTCACTTCGGGTGGTCTGGGATTTGTGAAGCAATCAATTTTGTCTAGTGTGCATTTCTTGCGTCTTTATCCGTAGCTCGCGACAAAACAGACACAGACGATTCAAGGATATACGTCTAATTATTGGTTCAATTTCCTCAGTATTTCCATTTAGATAGTCAATCTTAAATTCGCTTGTCAAAACATTATTTAACTGAGAATTCTAAGGTCGTATAGATCGATTAGTGCTTGAGTAATATTGGTCCAAGTTGTTAAATAGGACGGATACAACCAAAGTTGGTAACTTCGGAGAAAGCAATTATCATAATTTCGTTACTTGCAGGAAAGTTTTTAAATTAAATGAGATGTCAAATGTTGAATAAGTTTTGGAAAAGCTTTTTGCTGTAATTCATTTTGGATATTACCAATTTCATTTCTTTTTACTGGTATTTTAAGACATTTGTTTTAAAAAAAATACGTTTTAGTACCGGTTTGCGATAAGGAGCTCCTAGGTGAAGAAAGTTAAAGTTTATCCAACGACGATAGTGCTGCCAGCCGACATTAAATTAATAAATGTTTGTCAAATAGGTCTTAAGAGTGGAAAGCGATCAATGGAATAAAAGTAAAATTGTAATTTATTAAAGCTCCCGTCTAGTTTTTCTTCGTAAATGCGGCACAACATATTGATTTACGTTTAAGAAACTATATTCGTTTCTGTGCTTGCAAGATAAGTTGTGGACTGACTTTTTTCGGGTTGGTAATTTTACAAAAGATTTATTGCTGAATTGCAATGAATCCATGAAACCAGTGTCAACATTACATGGAAGGGGAGGGGTGTTTCAATAAAATATTTGGGGTGCTAAGTCCGTAAATCTACCCATTTAGCTGAACGTATTTCGGAATAAGACAAATGTAATTTGAAAAAAAGTGCAGAGTTTAAAGATATATAACTATATCTTTTTTTCCTAACACAATTCATAAACTTATCAGCCATTCTTTATCTATCTGTTTACCTTACATATCGTTTTTTTTATTTTTACCAAATGAAAAAAATTGTCAGGTAAGCCTCCATTTCAGAAAATTCATATTGCATACCGTAAAAGATCAGTCATGTTGTACGGGGTGAGTTAAAAAACAAAACAAATGGTGCCCCCTATATTTTTTTAACAAAAGTTCTGCATGCAGCGCTTTCCAGATCTAGGATAACATGAAAGCCCAATTAATAAACTTTCTTTGAGTGAAAGATTCATTCAAATCACTCCAATGGAATTTTGAAGACAAATTTCGTTTATTAACCTTGTCCACGGATCACATTTAAGGTACGTGCTATTTCAGTCAAAATGAAACCATGCCGTATCCTGAAAATGATATCGGAATAATCCCATAAGTCTCCGGGGTAGCCAAGTATAGAAGGCAGGGCAAGACTGTAAACTCTTGACATTATAAAGCATGTTAGTATAACATTTGAAGCAGCAGGTTTTTAAATATATGTTATAAGTGCCAGTTATCATGGTCAAGAGAGTGTTCTGTTGTGTTTTTTTTTTATATATGTAAATAGTTTTCGTTTTGCTGAAATATCAGTATAACCTTTATTGTAATCCGTGGACAAGCTGAAAAAAAACGGTGTTTGTTTTCAAATTCCATAACTGGAAATGTACATGAGCGATTTGAAT